TTTCGTGAAGTACGATAACTTTTCCTTTTTGGGCTTGGAGGATAAAAATGTGGTGATGAAGAAATGTGGGCCGTCTAATGGGTTTGATTTAGATGAAATGGGCCGAAGGGATGCTGTTTTGGGAAGCTTAATGGGCGGTAATGGGCTTTATCGGGTTGGCGGGTCGAAAGATGTTCAAGGTATGGCCCAATGTGTGGGTGATTTGAGTATGGCCCAATGTCAAGATTGTTTATCGGAGGCGATCGGACGGTTGAAAAAAGAGTGTGGTGGTGGTGTTTATGGTGATATGTTTTTGGGAAAATGTTATGCTAGGTATACAACTAAGGGAGCTCATCTTTATGCTAAACCTAATCATCATGGTAAGTACATTTTGAATTATGACTTTTAGGTTAAACTACATCCCGACGATGTAAAAAATTATCAGCTTTCAGTGTTCACATCAAATCGGTGAATGGAACATGTGTGTTTTCATAGATACACATTTCTATATCAGTTAATTAACCATAGTCAAGTAATATGTATTTTCACTTTAACAAATGCTTGACTGAGTCCAGAGGGGGAGCCAATATTAGGAGTTTGGGGTATCTAAATTTCCTTCCCCTTCCTTACCGTTGAATTGTCAATCAGTTTTGTTAGGGGTTCACAAGTTATTACTTAATTTTCTAGTACAAATATAGGGTCTACAGAAAAGCTATTGGGGTCTTCCGAACCCGTGAACTCCCACCTAGCTCTGCCCCTGCTTGACTCATATAGATGTACTATACGAGTGTCCATTGAGTGGGATATTCACTTTTTTTGTTGGCTCCGCCCCTGCTTGACTCATATAGATGTACTATACGAGTGTACATTGAGTGGGATATTCACTTTTTTTGTTGGCTTCGTACATGCTTTGAGCCCTACTATTTCTGATTCACGTCGAGGTGTTTTACTTCGAGGTAGACATTTCCTTTCAAGGCTCAAATCTGACATCTTTGATTAAAGATTTGGAGGAGTATATATTAACCACTCTAGCGCAATCTTTGGTGGTAGGAATATTCACATTTTTTTGGTATATAGGAATATTCACATTTATTCTCATATTATATAGTTTAAGGTTCATAATATGAATTATATTTGAATCTCTCTAATTAATTAAATTATTAGCAGATTCCCATAGTGAAAGTGAGAAGACATTTGCACTTATCATTGGATTATTAGCTGGGGTTGCTATTCTCATCATTTTCTTAACTTTCATGAGAAGAATATGCGGAAGAAATGGTAAATTTAATTACTTTCTTACCCTCATTTATAGCATTTTTTTTCACTTATTATAAAATTGTAAATAATTATGTTCTCTTTTTTTTTTTCCAGGTAAATAATAAATTGTAAATGAATTCTACAAATTTGATATGCTTTTGCTGGCCTTTTACTTCATGGTTTACATCAACTTGTCCTTCTCTTTTCTTTTTATGTATTTTTAGTCTTTTTAGAAAGAGATTTATTTTATATTATTTTTCATTGAAAAGGAGATTTCTAAGTGAAGATGAGCTTTAGGGATGTGTAATATCAAAAAATAAAATGAAAAAATGAAAAAGAAAAAGCCTAAGATTCCATTCTTCACTTTGATGTAAAGAAATTTGCTTTTGCTTTTTGTGAATGTTGTACTAACTGGATATGAAAATATGTGAATGTTGGATTTTGTTATTTAAGTACTTCCTTCTTACTATTTTAATTGTCCCTCGAAAAATAATAATCTCATATTTAAAATATAAGATTAAAACTAATAACCATTTCTAACTATATCCTTGATATTAAAGAAATATGCGCAATATTTAAACAACCTTTAATGAATATGGATAACTTAATTAATAAATTATATCTTAAATGAGAAGGAGGAAGTAATAATATGAGCATGTGAGTTTTGAACCACCTCAACCATTAAGCTAACCTCTAATCTTACGTTCAAGAGGTTCAAAATTAATATATAGACATAAAAATTCTTAATTTTTTTTTATATATACAATGTAATTTTTTACCGAAGGGATTCGGGTGAACCCCTCAACTACCTCTAGGTTCTCCCCAGAACATGAGGTAGGTTTCCTTGTCATCAACTAGCTTAAATTAATTCTTTTACTTATTTTCTCAAAAAAAAAAAGACTTTTTTTGGGGACAAATTTAAAAGGTAACTTTTGCATTTTCCCAAAACTTTATTTTGAGATACCAATTACTTACTGTTAAGTCCATTCATCCCAATGTATGTATAAATTTGCATAAATCAGCCTTCTAAGAGGAACATAATGTGGCTTGAATTTCTCCAATAATATTACTATTACCCTACTTTGAAAGCAAACTAAAGAGGTCCTCTTATTTGTCTCCAATAAAATATTGGACCACAAAAATTATACACTATGAATCTAGACAAGTTGAATTAATCAAGAAAGTATAGTTGATTATTTAATGGGCAAAATATTTTATCAACTCCATTCTTGAATTATAGGCAAGAGTAATGAAGATTTTATCGCCGTAAACTTGAATTTCCTTAAAAAAAAATTTAAAAAAATGTTTATGCTTTAGCTAGAAAATAATCTACTTTATAATTGTAATTGTATTTTCATAGTGGACAACATGTTAGTATCTTTTGAATAAAGTGATTTATTATTCTTTATCATGTCACACATAAAGGTGAAGGGAATATAATGAATCACTCTTGTATATTCTCCCTTTAATTGCATGCATGTTTATGAAACTTTTTGCCATAACTTATAGACCAAGAATTAAATCATGAAATTAATGGCAAAAAAAAGTGCATAAATATATAGAAATGGAATCATGTATAGGTAGAAAAAAAGTCATCATCTTTATTCTTGGACAAATTGAGCAATCATCCAAAGGGCACACTAAAGTAAATTAACCACTACGAAAACGCTCTGGCGGAATTGAGATTTTAACATTATGAGTTCTGAATTTTAGAATATTCAAACATTACTTGTTGGATTCTAAATTTAGTATGTTTACATATTTAGTACAAAATTACACTTTTGTCTTTCAAAAGTCTGGTTTTTAATGTTTGCTTTTTGCCCTAAGCAATAGAACGTATACTTAATAGACATAAATTCTTTCAGGGGGTGTGGCATAACTTACAGTATATTATGATGCGAAAATAAAAATTTGTGCCTGATCATAAAATTAAAATTATTTGTCTTGAGGAACAAAAATTAAAAACCAATACAAAGTAGGGTCAAAGTGCAAATGACCCTTTCTTGGATTCTCAAACAACAACAAAAAAATATCTAGTGAAATCTCACTAAGTAGAGTTTGGTAAGGGTAAAGTCAAAAGGGTCTGGTGGACCCTTGTACTTGTATGAGTTTGTATTGTGAATCTTTATATTTACCCATTTGTCATCTGGACTCCTAAACCCATCTAAACTCATCATTTTAAACACGTTTTCTGACTTGGCGTCCGATGTGGCAGACACAACCAAGGGGCGTGTGATACACATGCTTGAGGAGCGTGAAATCTGGTTAAAAGAGTCTAATAGCCACATTAGAGTTTTATAAAGTCATCTTCTTCCCCATTTGCATTTAACACCATTATTAGACAAATTTGAGCTTTTTCTTGCCTCTTTTCCGATCTTCTTTCTCCAAATTTCTTCTCCATTTTTTTTCATCGTTATACTCCTCTTTTATTTCTATGCATTTCCAGTTAATTCTTTGCTTCATTTTGTGATTGATCCTATTGTAGTTTTTTACATCATCATGAAAGTTGCTTTTCTTAGAATCCTATAATCTAATAGAAATCATGAAACATGTAATTGAAAGCATAACAAATAGAATCTCCAAAAAATCAGTATAATCGACTAAAAACCTAAAAATTAAACAAATACATAAATAGAAGATGAAATCTAGACTAAACAACATAAAAATACGAAAATAAGTTACAAAATTTACATAGATAAATTAAAAATCAAACAAAAATACTCAAACAAATTTGTGGGAATGAAGAAAAAAATGAGAAAGAAAAAATGTGGGTTTATATAGCCACACACAGATACTGATCTAGGATGACGTTGACACACTGTACACTCAAGCGGCGAACCTCTCTTCTTCGATTTGGATGAAAACAAAGACGGATTGGTGTTTTTTCTTCAATGAAAAGAGTAGAAGAGGTTGAAAAAAAATGTGTAAAGAAGATGAAAGAGAAATGAAATGAGCTTGTAGGGGAAAGTGGTGGGTTTGGTCGCAAAAGGCAAATAAAAATCAGAAATATATTAATTAAATATAATAAAAATGTCAAGATGACATGAAATGGTATATATATACACGTGTCATTTTATAATTATTTTTAAAATTACGTGTCAAGCACTTGTGGTACACACACAACTAAAAGGTAAAAAAAGTGTTTAAAATATTGAGTTTAGATGAGTTCAGGGGTCTAGATGACAAATGGGTAAGTAGAAGGGTTCACAATACAAACTCATACAAGTACAAGGTCCAGCAGACCATTTTGCCTAAGGGTAAAGTGTACACAAACCTTACTATTACCTCATGGAGGTAGAGAAACTGTTTTCGAAAGACCCTCAGCTCACATGCATCAAACCAACTAAGCAATTAATAAGAAAAACAATATAAAGTCTACAAGAAAGAGCAATACCAAAACACAATAAACAACATACTATCAGAACCATGAGGGTACGACAATACTATCGATACACACTAACAAACCTAAAACCTCGCAAGTCAAGGCAACACTCTACCCCTACTACTAACCTTCTACCATAATACGTGACATACACTCCTTTCTAGAGTCGTGTCCTCGTAATATGGAGTTGCACCATTACCCTTTCTTGGATTCTAACTAGAAGTAATTATATTGGGCCATTCTGAGAACGATTTAAGTCCATTGGGCCAAGCCCAGTCCAATTTAAGGCCCATAACATATCCCTTAATCAAAATTTTCCACTTTCCAAATTTATCAATTCATCACTTTCTATTTTCACCTCAAAAATTCAAATCTCTCTCTTCCACATCAATGGCGTTGGAATGGGTTGTTCTCGGCTACGCCGCCGGAGCCGAAGCCATAATGCTGCTTCTATTAACGGTTCCGGGTCTTAACCCGCTTCGCAAAGGGCTAATTTCCGTGACCCGGAATCTCCTCAAGCCATTTCTCTCCATTGTACCCTTTTGCCTCTTTCTGTTAATGGATATCTACTGGAAATACGAGACCCGACCCACTTGTGAATCCGAATCTTGTTCTCCATCGGAGTACCTTCGTCATCAGAAATCAATCATGAAATCTCAGCGTAATGCTCTTCTGATCGCCTGTGCTCTGGTGTTCTATTGGTTATTGTACTCTGTTACTGGCCTTGTTGTGAAAGTTGAGCAGCTGAATAAGCGGGTGGAGAAGATGAAGGCTTCGGATTGATCCGATCCGGTTTGATTTGATGGATCGGGTTTCTGGATCTTTTGTTTTCGGGTCGGTTAAGCTCCAGTTCTTATGGTGTAATTGCTTAATTTGGATCATCTAGGAAGTTTTCGGTATCTCTTTAACATATGTTATTTTACTATGCTAATTTAACTAAAATTTTAAATTTTGATGTTATTATTGAGCATGCTAGTAGATAGCAGTGCGTTGCCTGGCTGCGCGCTCATATTCCTGTAGTTTCTTATCCTTCGATTTTTGTTACTATATGTTGATTTTCCTTGTATCTCGATTATCGTATTGTTTTGTTATTATCTGTTGTCTCTTGTATTTACTGTTACTTCTTTGCACTGTTTTCGACGGTCTATACGAAACAACAAGATAGGGGTAAAGGTTTGCGTACGCATTACTCTCACCAAAACTGGGACTAGATTAGGTATGTTGTTGTTGTTGTAACTGGGCAATGGATGAATCTGTCTAATTGGAGCAGAATTACTATTATGGATTCAAATAGCGGACTGCGATGATAAGTAGTTGATGTTGTGTTAATAGTGCTTGATCATAGTGTTCTTGTTGTTTGGTGCTGCGGGATGATATATGATTAGAGAGTGTTGAATTGGGGTTTAGCTGGAATCAGTACTTGATTTATACATCTTTTAGTATCTCGTGTGGATTATTTGGGTGCGAATGAATGAGTACAGACCTTTGCTAAATGTGTTCCTCGATGATGTTGTTGCAAGTATGGTGGTTGCATACATTGCACTACTTCTTATTTTCTATGTACAATTCCTAATTGTTGTTTGCGTTGTTAGAGAAATGTTAGTTGCATGTATAGTTCTTGACTAGTGTTGTCTACTCTTGGATTTTCTTTAGCAGAAAAGTGGATTGCTAACTTGTAGACTGTAGTTTATGGATGAAATTTCATCAACTGGTGATTTTGGCCTTAACAGAATGAGTATCGGAAGCAATTTAAGGAAGGCCGAAGGGATTAAGTGTTGATACAATGTTAGTTTTACAATAATTTAGTGATCTATTAGTGCCCGAAAGACCTTTCAATGTCTTGAACACTTTTTTCCAGTTCTTTGTGAGCGTTGGACCTTTCGAGGATTCATTGCATATCCTCTGGGTTCAACACTGTTATTGTGATACTATGGCATCCTCGTCGTTGATTACTAGAGATCGACGTTGAAAACTGAGCAAGTGTTGTCTTAATCTGGTGATTTCTGGGATCATGCTATTTACTTACTTGTTGATTGCTGTTTGAAACATCATCTAGTGTTGCTTACCCTGGGGATTTTCTTTGATTGGAAGTGGATGGCTAACTTGTAGTTATGGATGAAATTTATGAATTGGTGATTTTCCAAAAGAATGAGTATTTGAAACAATTCAAGGAAGGAGAAAGTAGTGTTACATGTTCCTCTCAACACTTTGTTTGGATCGTTGTTACATATTGTTTTATAATATACCCTATTGTATTGTTTTAATGAATACAATGTTTAGATAAATTGTATCATTCTACTCGTTACATAATGTCACACATTCCATAATTTGAATAATAAACCTACAAGAAAGGTAGGGTAAATGTAGAAATACTATGAAAAGGTAGGATAACAAATGAAATTTGATTATTAAATAATAAATAAAGACAAAATGACAAGAAAATTGTAAGGTAACGAAGTGATCACACATCAAATTGGTTGTTACATAAAATAAGTCTTTTTTATTGTAACCTAACGATGAATTTAATTGATATGATACAACCTTTAGAAAAGGGTTATATTTATCCTTAGTCATACCTTTTTTGATACCTTGCCATCCAACTTTGGGTCCATATTTCCCCTTGAACAGGCAAGTATTATGTTACCACTTTTCTTATCCTAATGATTACATTGCTACTACGTGGATATATTTTTATTATAATTAAAAGTTTACTTTTTATTTAATATTTTATCCGACCCACTTAAATAAAGTCCTATCCATCCAATTTGAAAACCCGTTAACCCTAACTCCAGTACCTAAATACGAGCAAAATTAACAGAGAAACCATCCTTTGCAAACTCCATGTCTTGCTTAAGTAGAGGAGCAGGTTTTTAGTAGCTTGCTCCTCTGAATCTATTATCAAATTGGGTGGGTACTGTATAGGTAGTGGAGTTAGGGTTAACGGGTTTTTCAAACTGGGTGGGTCGGGTTTTATTTAAGTGGTCGGATAAAATATTAATAGGAAGTAGACTTTTTAATTATAATAAAAACACATTCATGTAGGAGTTGTGTAAGCGTCACGTAGGATAATAAAAGTGGTGACATAATACTTAACTGTTAACTGGTCCAAGGGGAAATATGGATCCAAAGTTGGATGACAAGCACGAATATATCAAGAAAGTATGACTAAGAATAAATATAACACCTTTCTAAGTGTACAAGGACAAATATAACCATTTTTCAAAATAACAAATTAAGTATAACGTAAGATATGATTTCCAGACATTTTTAAAAAAAAAAAATTACATTGCAATTATTCTTTTCGATTTTTACAAAATTTACAATTCGCAATACAGTAAAACCTCTATAAATTAATAATCTGTCTAAAATAATATTTTCCTCCAATCCCGATTTGGGCCAATGAAAAAAATCACCAATTTCGATAAGATAATAAGATAATATATTTCCAGAAGACTCCTATATAAATAAATGGACCCATTAATATCACAAATTAATAATTCTTTAAAACTACAAATATATCTAAGACAATTTAGTGAAATATGATTCTATTGTGTTCTGTTTTTTCTTAAAATTTAAATCTAGTTGAAGCTCATCTCCAACTTTTCTTATTGCATCCAAGAGCTCCGGTGTTGTCTTTTCGAATTGCACCGTAAAATTGTGAAGAGTTCTAGATGCGATAAGTTCTTCCTTATGCGTAACTGGTTCCAAAGGTATATTATCATCTTCAACTTCATCATCAGCATTGCTTTTTCCGATGGTATCCACAATTTCTTCTAAGCTCTGGACCTCTGAACATGTATCACTTTCACCCAGATAATCCAACAGGTTATTGACATCCATTTTATTGTGGTAACCAAGATCATTAATCATGACCTCAAGTTCATGAATGGCGTTTTCACAAGTGGGTTCATTCAAATCTCTGAGATTACATCCCTCGGGGTAATTTTACAATGTTGAAAACAATTTGTTATTGTCTCTTGCTGAGAATTTGTTGTCCAAGCAAGGATTGCAAAATTGATAGCATCCAAAACATTAATCTTTGTTGAATCAGTTTGTCCCACTTCATAGCCTTTTAATATCCTACGATAAAATTTGTTACGATAATACATCTTGAAAGCTCTTATTATCCCAGCATCACAAGGTTGAATTTTGGATGTCATATTGGGTGGCAAGAAAAACAATTCAACATTTTGTAGTCGTTCAATTTTTCTATTATGGGCTGGACAATTATCTCTACTCATTGTCAAGAAATTCAAGAATTCAATTCATTGTAAAATAATACATAATGTTCATTGTTTCATAATAATCAATTATTATTCATTGTATTTTTATTAAAAACATTCGATGTATGATGGTGAGAAACAAAACTATATAAGCAACATAAGAAATTTCTTTAAACCATATCCAAAAATGGCTTCAATATTTAATATTATGGGCTGGACAATTATTTAATATTTTTGTGAAATCAATGAATATGATACATAAATTAGTAAGATACAATGATTTTGATGTATTCGTTGTACTTTATGTATAATATTTTTTTAAACGTAAAATCAATAAATATGATACATAAATTTGCAAGATACAATAATTTTGATATAATCAAAATTAACCTTCATTAAATCTCAAATCATTTTTCAAATTAATAAATATTAATTTATCAATTAAATAATATCTCTATAAAATAATAAAATATCATAATCCCACCTATATTAATTTATAGAGATTTTGATGTATTTGTATTATTCCTTTTTATGTTACAATGATTTGGATACCTAGCGTATTCTATGTGAGCTATATCAACGACAAACAATAGTTGCACGGAATAGGGTGGATAATGTATTATGTCCAAATCTTCTCCTTCCCTTCTTCCAAAAAAAAACTTAACAAATATAAGTGGAGAAAAGTAATAATCAAAGAAAAGTAAAAAAATATAATTGGAGAAGAGTGATGAGTGAGAGTATGAAAAAACTAAGAAATTTACCCTTTTATATATTATTTTATAGTAATCCATATACGTTAAGGTTGGTAATTAAAAGAATCTAATAGAATATTTAGTCCTATTTTATATGGGTTTAGGAGGGAAAAATTATTTATGATAAATCAGCAAAATATTAGGATTCTTATCTAATTTAATTTGAGGAGAGATTTAATAAATAAAATTAGAAATACAATAGCACACATGGTTGGAACACTAATTATTTTTCCTTGATTGCTCTATGTTACTTACTCTTGAATGATGTAAATGCAAATAATAGAGAGAGGAGAAAGTCCTTAACGGTACAAGAAAAGGTTCGAGTTAACTTGTCTAACACATTTTACGAATTAACAAGAATTATAACATATTCAATATATTCTCATAAGCGGAAATTTAGAAAAAATGAGTGTAGAAAGACGAATCCACTTGTTAAGAGTCAAAATCTGTTGACATAGAGAGGTTCGGTCTAAGTCTATTTACCTCAATGTGTGTCCTTTTTGAGACTAAAGTAGTTCGTCACATTCTATAATATTGTGCAAGTATGAATTAAACTATAGTTTATAGTACACTTTTATCCAAAATAACGTATCTAATTTGATTTCATGTCCAAATTAAACATATGGACTGGTATAGCAAAAATATCTTTTATTATGATGAGTCTTCTGAATATTGGATGTAATGTTTCATATAAGCTATCATAACAAATTTGTAATTGAAATGTTGTTAATTTGATTGATTTAATATTTAACAATATATACTAAACATTCTTTTCAACAAATATAGGAAACTAATAATTTTAAATTATAGGGCCTACATGAAAGAAAACTTAAAAAAATTATATTTAACATACAAAAACT